GCGCCGTCGTCCAATCAGCGATGTCTCATGTTTCCCACTGGTACCTACCTTTTTCGGTAGGTTAATGTAATTGTAATTTCCTTAATGTAGTTGCGCTTTGCTTTATGTAGTTGCGATTTCCTTAATGTAGTTTTGTTTTTCTTAATGTAGTTGCGCTTTGCTTTATGTAGTTGCGATTTCCTTAATGTTGTTGCGCTTTTAGATTTGTAGTTGCAGTTTGCACTTCAGGGTCACCGTACATGTGTAATACCATAAGATAAAAGCTGTAGTAAACAAAGGAAAAAGTAGACGCCCACTTGGATGTACACCACTCATATTTACCTGTGCTTCATGGTTTGTTTTCCCTTCATGCCAGTAAAATCCTTCAGCAAAATCTTGAGAGGAGATCAGGCTGACTGTGGAGAATAAAAAAGCAAAAAACAACAAGACAATCAAGAAAAATCCTCTAAAACAGGGTTAGGTTTTAGGTGTAGGTGGCGCTCTCACCTTTCTCTTTAGTAAAGGCAGAAGGACTCGGCTGACATGTGGTTGTCCGAGCATTCATATTTAGAGGTGTGGCAGAGGCCAGCTTTCTCCATTCTCCATGGCGTATCAGCTCATCCAGATCTGGAAGAAGGCAAACAATACAAATTACAGATAATTTTACTTCTCCAGCTGCAGAATCGTACAGGAAGAGAAACTTTGTTAATGAGGCTGACCCTGCTTAAACTCCAACAGCCTGTGTTTCGGTATGTTCTTATAGCCAAGAGCCGCCAGCTGCTGTTGGATTTCCGCTTCTGAGAAGTCCAGGTTTTCCATAATGTCGATTTCCTGTTCATGGGGGAGAAAACTTCCTGAAAGAGAAAAAAACCATAAGAGATTGAAATTAAAACGCATGCAATTATAATTTTTTCATTTGCTGAACGGTTTTTTTAAACTTTAATAAAATTCACTGTTCTACTGTCTTTATTGAACAGATAAATGCATAAAATGATTTATATGTTTTTTATTAAAACTGAACCTCAATCAAAATCGTTAGTGAGGTAAAAAAAAAAACATGGATCGTTAAACAGATTATGTTATTAACCCTTTATAGGGCACTTGGTGAAATACTTTGAAAATCCAAATTTCACTTGAAAAACGATCTAGAGATAAGTAAAAATGTCTTAAACCAAGTGTATTTACCCTTAATTTTAGTAGGTAAATGAGAGTTTGCCAATGGAGTGCGTATTTTTGCTCTTAAAATAAGATAATTAGATAACATGCACCCGACTTAAGACAACGCAGTTGTGTTTTCTTATTTTAAATGTAACTTGTCTTGTTCCATTGGCAAGATGTCTCTTTTGCCTCCTCAATCCAATAACAAATGCACTTATTTTAAGAAAACAAATCACTTATCTAGATTTCATTTTTTTCCAGTGTTCAAGCCAATAGTTTTATTTACGGAATACGGAGCCCCTAAAGGGACATGGAGGAGAAAAAAAATCTACTTTTGCAAGATCCCGCAATACTTTTGCAAGATCCCGCAATACTTTTGCAGGATCTCGCAAAAGTTTATTTTTTTCCCTCCATGTCCTTTTAGGGGCTCCCTATAAAACAAACACACAACAGTTGAGGTGCAAAGTGTACTGCTATGGGAGGATAATACGCCCATGTGTCAGCTACAACCATGGAGGATGACTTGGTGAGGTTCTTAATTTCTAGACAAGTCCCAAAACAGACAAGGTCAGTATGCAATTCTACGGAGCCCCTAAAGGGACATGGAGGGAAAAAATAAACTTTTGTGAGACCCCGCAAAACTTTTGTGAGATCTTGCAAATAAATATACTTTTGCCAGATTCTGCAGTACTTTTGCGAGATCTCACAAAACTATTGCGGGATCTCGCAAAAGTATTGCGGGATCTCGCAAAAGTCCCTTTTTTCCCTCTCCATGTCCCTTTAGGGGCTCCGAAATTATTGGAATCCAGGACAAGGCCTTATTACCTTTGTAAAATTTAAAAATATGGATATTTTGATGGCAAAAATAAATGTCAATGTAATAAAAAGAAACACCAACTTGCCTGAATATATTAAGATTAATAACAAAAGTGCTTCTATAAGAACTTCAAGAAAAACACTGAGTGAAAAAAACTTTTTTTTTGGTCCAACATAACTTTAAAAGCATTAAACCTAGATATAATTGTTCACTAGGCTTATTATTACATTTTTAACTTTTCAATTAGCTTTATAACTTTTTTTCCTACTTAATTTTCAGTAGGTAATTTATCATTCAAGGGCTCATCTAATTGGTCAAATGCCAAAATAAGATGTACAGCCATGTAGCAGTATCTTAGCCGAATGGCTGGATATAGATCTTGTGCTTCTAGATCTAACTGAGGGATGGGGGGGACTTCATTTGTAAGGGATAACTTGCCCTATATATGGCTAATGGTATTTACTTATTTCAATTTATATAGAAGCAGGGAGCTGAGAGTTGGTTTTGTCAGACACACCTCTGTCAATTATCTTCCAGCTGAACATGTCGTAATTTTGACTTTTAGGCCATTTGTCGGTTCTAATAAAATGAATAAAATGTAAGATTGCAGCCATTGTTTGTTTGGTTGGAAATAAAGGCTGTGACCTACCTCAGACAGAGTTTGCTAACGGAAAGCTAAAATTAGCCGCTTCTCCAGCGCCGTAACAAACACCAGCCCGTTAACCGCGGCTGCAGCTACTGTTTGCCATTTAAAGCGACTCGAGGACAGCAACGTTCACGGATCAACCGAAAGGTTCAGAAGTCTTTCCACCCAGCTCCAAGACAACCGTTAACAAGCTTTGAAAATAACGCCATCTTCTTCCTCGTCGTCGTCTTACTCTGTCTGGCTTTCCAATGTCTACTGCCACCTACTGGACAGGGGCATCTAAAACCACACAATATTTCAACACTAAAAACTACAATTAATTCCGTTTTTTTATTATTATTATTTTTACGTAAGAAATTCTCGTTTTATGTTAATTTCTGTCTTGTTTTGACCAATTTTTACATCAGACTCATTTCCTGAAATTCCTTTCAGTACAGTCCTTATAGTTGGAACGACTCCTGACACCAACAAACACACACACAACAATAACATACGGACTGCCCTTTGTTTTATATATATATAGATATATATATATATCTATATATATATA